AAGACATAATCTCTTGGAAAAGCGGAGGCGTCACCAAGGCCTTATATTTACGCTATAGCTATCCCTCCCTTCAATGTTTGCCGTCGAAACCGTACAAAATTATTCGCCGCCTAACACTACCCTCCCCGTTTCTCCACATTTTCGACTTCTAGGCATAATCGTGACCCATGCCTTTAACCAGCACTTTGATAAATTTACTTCCCGAGACTGGCCAGAACTTCGCCGCATCGGATAAGGATAACCTAGACTTTTTTGGCAGACTACTGATATTTCTCTTGACATCTAGGCACGGGCACGGGCGAACGGGCGTATTCCAATTTCGAGAGGACGTACGCTGGTCACGCAGCCAAACTATCAGATAATGCGAACTCTGTCACCTCTTCACTGCAGAGATGAGGAAGATTTCTATTGAAGTACTTCCTTAGGAGTAGATCAGAAAAGGGCTTGTTAATAGGAGCCAAAATTATTTAGCCTAATATGCGGCAAAAAATTGGCGCACCAAATAAGCTAATCTTATGCACATACCTGCCCACAACATGCTACAAGGGACGACTCCCTGGTGATGCAACTTTCGAAGGATGAGAAGGAGGGTGCAGAATATGGGATGCTGATGTGATATGGCGCATCAGGTCTTTGGATGAGATAGATACTAACTGCTATTAATGGTTTATCTGGTTCTCATAGGGAGCCCTGTTCAAACTGACTCTATTCGCTCCTCTCTTACATTTAGAGATCATTCCATATCGATCTGCCGACCACGATCCTCATAAATGCTCGCAGTCAACCAGGCGAACGAATGGTGATCATCCGGATTGACGTCCTATCGAGCACTGCGTCTGCGCGACAGACAGACAGCGAGAAGACAGAGAGTCACATCACTAATTTTCGCGTATGGTTTCTGACAATTAGTTAAACAATGTGCGAGTAGGAAAAAAGTCACCGAGATGTACCATTGCTCGCTTCAGTTCACAACCAGTTCCTACCTCTGACAGCCACTGTGATCCCTTTTTCCACGGTACGCTATCGACGAACTGACACACCAATTAAGTTAATTAGTAATACAACAGAACTAGTATAGAGCAACCTTTTGCATGGAGTGCCACTTAAAGTTGCTAGCGTTTCATTTATCTTTGATCTATGCGAAACTTATGTTCTCTGCGACTAAGCATTCTTCTATTAACTTTATTGGCACGACCCGAGAATAAAAGAGGTCTACCCGCACTACAGCAGCGAGCCCAACCGCACATTTTCTTCTTTGTGGTAAGAGGGTTTGACTTGACCATCGCTCTGGAGCCTATTGTTAGGAGATGATTTAATAAATACTTCCGGAAAGTCATTTCATGTCAGTCATTATTTTGTTTCTCTACTGAAGTCGAGACATTTACTGCGCCGTTACCGCATTACGTTGTTCTCTGCATGGCCAGTATAAAGAGATTCTAGTCATCACCTATGTTGAATTGCAGGCTCTGCATTCGATCTATGATAGAGCTGTCCTATATTTGCACCAGGGTTCAGTACCCTTTGAAGAATCCTATCAGAGTGTCGTACTGATCTGCTGGTGAATCGGGTCGTATCTGGTCTCGACCTAAATTTTTCAACTCACGGACGTACCACATATCAACTACAATCTCGTTCACTGCGGATGGTAGAAGGCTTCAGTAGACAGGGTGTGGCACGGCTCCAACCCGTTCTCCACCGATTAGCTCAAACAATCACAATTAGAGGAAAACTGGCTGGTGCCGTGCGAAACTCAGTTCCCGAAAACGCACCAGTGTCCGCAGAGAACAAGTTCGTAATTCCGATGGCTGAAATTAGTTGCTGATTGGTGGAGACTTTCATTCCCTCGGTCGGTGGCAGTTTTTGTAGGAAACAGTGCAAATTAGTATGAAAAACTGGGCAAAAGCGAAACTGAGCAGCAGCGGGGGGGGGAGGGGAAGGTTATAGGAAAGATGGAGGAAGGTGTCTGACGCGGCTATTTCTTACATCCGGGTACTGTGCCCAACTCGCACTCAAGTGTGATTATGAGAAGAAGGAACGTGAAAGTGTGAAGTGACTATGGTCTAGGTGCTTCACGCGTTGTTTATACTTACTTACCACTCACTCAACGAGCTTGTTGTTGCTATCATCGCACTTGTTTTCTATCTGTTACTGAAATGGAACCAGTCTTGATTATAACAGCCGGAACCCCATACTGGTTGTGCAGTGACTGAACGAGTTCGACCAGCACCGAGGTGTTTAGTACACATTTATCGAAACAAGGTACATCATCACGTCGGGTAAAACCTTTGCTTAATAGGACCCTTGCCCGCGATGCTTCTCCTTCGGTGTGACCTCCTTTCACAAGCTATGTACCTTCTTACCGTATTTCTCCAAGATTGTGTCTTCAAGTAAGTGTTATTTCACTCCTGTCGACTGTCAGAAATGAATGATATTTTGGCGCTTCGCCAATAAGGGAGACTAGATCGAATTACAACAAGGACAGACAACAGTAGGAACTACTTTTTCCGAGGCCAATACGACCATCTCCATTCCAACGGTCAAAGTGTTTGCACAACGATAATGTACCCGAATCGAAGATGGGACGAGTCTGAGGGGGAGGATTTGGCGCAACGCTACCAAGTTTCTTCTCTTCTTTTGGCAAGCGACGAGACTGTGTATCGTTTGTATCAGTCGTTTTCCACCAATTGCTGTCGCCTACCCGGTGCAACAACGGGTGGTGAATGGGTTGGCCGCACCCCAAACCCACCCTCACTGGCACGCCCCTCCAGCCGCAGCGAACAGGACCGTACATCCGTGGTGGTATAAATCCGAGCGGGCCGAGTCAAGCTCGAGTGGTAAAATGCTCTATAAAAAGAGACAGCAGAAATAAAGTTATGACGAAAACCTGTCCATCTCGCATATATGGTTTTTTTCGAACGGTTAGGAAGGATATTACAATGATCAGCTGGCCAGGCCTATACGGGAGAGGTTCAGAAATCCTGCTGGACCCACCTCATTCCATAACCCGGCGCTCTATCGATAACATTCCCACCGCGAACTGCACTGATAAACAACCCATAAACAGCATTTATCATAACAATGCACCAATGATCATGAAATGAAAGCAGAGTGCAGGGCTTATTCGATGTGAATTCACCTGTACTTTTTGTTGCACTAATGCACTAAAAACTGTCAATATCTGCATGGATCCGAATCTGTGCCATGCAGCGCCTAGGCAAACCCTGTTGAAGCTATCTGCCCATGTTTTTGTCGTTGTGAAAAACCGTTCAATGGCTTTGCACGTACTTCTGTTAGTTCGGCTATCCGCCTGTTAGCTTTACAACAGACGTCCCTCATTTTCTAAGTCTTAGGACTACTGGTATGCACTTCAGTCCCTTGCACTTCAGCCTCGACACTCACTTTCGTTAGACCATGTATCTGAACATGCTCAACACCATTTACCTTTGAGAGTATTGCATCGAAATCTGAATTCTCTTGCCGTACCTTCTATGTCGCTGATCTGAATGCAGTTAGAACTTGGTAATTCTGCTCCTTTTCTACCAAACTCTTCAAAGCTGGAGCCAGTGTTGATACTTTTTGTCCGTATTCTGACTCCGAACATGATCACTTCATCCACATGGCTCTGAACAATCTGACGCAGGCACCAGAAATTTCTAGTTCTCGTTCCAAAACACAAATTAGCTGAAAGTGTATTGCAAGGTACCTTTTAAATCCCTGAACAAGAGTATTATAAGCTATTCGTTGACGCTGCCCAGCTTGGAGGGGGAACTTGCATTTTCTCTGGTCCCTCTTTTTGGGTGTAATAACTAACTGGTCTCAGTATGGTTAGGCTTGTAAACTCCTGCGGAACTGCGAAATTCTTTGCACGAGGTACTTTGGTCGCATCAGTTCACATTCCACTACAAAATAGACTAGGCCGAACTGCGCCATCTATTCTTTACGGCTCCACTCTTCAAAATTGATATTTGAAAGGGAGGGGCAGTGAAGTAATTGCGATAGTAGGTTGTGGTTAGTGATAGTTCGACCTATCTGCTCGTAGGGGGTAGATAATACATCTGAAATCTTTCCACCGGGGTAGTTTCAGCAACTGAGTACG